ATAGTAGTAATGTTAGTGGTAGTAATAATAGTCGTAGTAGTAGTAATATTAGTGGTAGTAATAATAGTCGTAATAGTAGTAATGTTAGTGGTAGTAGAATTACTTTTTTTTGATCAAATCAAAAGTCCAAAATCAACAGATATTCAGTTTAGTTTCTCGTGTGATGAAGAGAATCTGCAGATTTGAGGCTGAAATCTCAGAATGTTTTTATTGTGTTTTAATCGATTACCAAAGTTGTAGCAGATCAATTTTCTCTTGATCAGCAGATCGATTAATCGGCCGATTGATTGATCTCTAGATCATGAAAAACAAATCAACAGATGGTGATGCTGGAGGAGCGTGAGCGTCAACATGCTAAAGAGTTTTGACTTGATGAATGACTGACTATTAATAACACAGCTACGTGTGAAGCTGCTCATACATTTAGGTTTCAGGTTGTTCTGATGATGTGAGACTTGAAATAAGACAAAGATCTTCTTCATGAATCAGGGTCCAGATTAATAATCCATGTTCTTGGAGAGATGGAGAAGTGCTGAGCTAAGCAAAATAAAGCGCTTTGCTTTTAGTTTCCTTTGAAGGGGAAGAGGATGTGATGTTAGATGGTGAGAGAGAACTGAAACCTGCAGGTCCTCAGTGGACGTCTTCAGTAGCTGTGACTTGTTGAGATGACCGGCACGCCCTGAACGGCTTCATTCAATACGTTACGTTCATACAACTCCACTCTGCTGGAAACAAACTCTTTTTGTGATTCTTCAGGAAAAACTCTAAAGCAGTTTATTTTTAACCACGTCTGAGAAAATCTCTCTTAAATTAAAGAGGCGCTGAAGTCAGTGAACGCTCCTCATCTCGGACTGATAGAGACAGAACAATGTGGGAATATCCTGAGACAAAGAGGTTAAGTTGGAGCCATTGAGCTCGTGGGAGGTTCTCTGACTACGTGACTGATTTAGCTGCACAAAGGGAAGACAATGGGATTCACCCTCCCTACAGCGGAGCACGAGAATATGAGCAGCTTAACCACAGCTGATGTTTCACACCGAGGACACCGCTGGAGTCAGTGGGAAGTGACAACGTTTGTCTCTCAGGGACAAACAGCTTTTCCCTTCTTGGTCTTTGCGGTGAGGTGCTGCACCAGACTGCTGCCGGGTTTCTTCACCTTCTTTCCACCGTGGTTCTGATTGTTTTTAATGTGCAACTACACTGAGATGAATCATGAGCTGCTGCAGCAGCATTAACAACGCACCGCACAGACGGTGGCATTCCACCTCAGAAGGCTTTTACTAGCAGCAATAAATCAATTTAAAATCATTTATTTTGACCCGACAAAACAATTTAACCCTTTAAACAAACTGCAGCGCTGCACCAAGGAGAGCAGGAGACACAGAGTAAATAGAATAAAGTCATTCTAATACGTGTGCATCGCTAACCAGATCTCAGTTAGGAATTTACTCATCAATAAAACCCACAGATATCAAAGTCTAACACACACACACACACACACACATTTACTTTCTGGTGTAAAACGAGGGTGTCCGGAACTCACTCATAAAGCACACATCTGCACACATCTGCACAGTGTTCACGTTTAAACCACAAGCAGAAAGTAAAGCCCGTTGATCCCTGAACCTTTGACTCAACTTGCAGTGCAAACATGAATTCAAGCATCAATATTACCGAATAGCTTAATATAATAGCTTTGCTCTTTATTGGATACAGAAGGTTTAGTTTTGTTTATCTCGTGTAGTTTATTAATTTTGCACAATTTAAAGCATAAAATAATCAAACATAACAGAGATAAGTGATATCACAGAGCAGGAAGAGGCACAAAGCCAACGGGCTCATCCGAAGCCTCAAACTATAAAATATTAAAACTTCACAATATTACAGAGAACATCAAATGAATATGCATACGATATGACTACATAAGATATTATTGACAAGATGTTTTTACATGATATGTAATGTGGTAACAATACCAACACATTACAAACAGAAGGTGCCTCTAATGTGTGAAAAGAAGTGTGTCTTCTTCTGTGGTTAGAGTTACAACACACTTCTCTACAGCAGTTAACGTGCAACGCTTAACGGTGCTTTGCTTAAAGGTTGAGCAACCCTGATATTCCTAACAGGGCAACTCAATACGGAGCTGATCTGAGACGTGTAACTCGTGTCTTCTGATAATAAAAGTGAGCAGAAAATAGATATTGACTCACCTCGGAGAAAGCAACTCAGAGGCACCGACATGGATGGAGGAAGGAGGCTGAGGGAGCAGACGGAGCGGAGCTACCAGAGGAACACCTCTGACCCTCGCTGTGCAGAGTGGTCTGGACCTCACAGCTCAGCCGGTGACTCAGCGGCTCTGCCCCACTTCTGTAGACGAAGGCACAAAGAACTCAGAGAGGGAGGTTCTCACTGCACCTCTCAGCCGTCTGCCTCTCAACACACTAAAGAAAACCTTCCAAAGTATCTCACATAGAGTAACTTAAACCTTATGTTGTGACATAAACCAAAGTTCAGACACAACAACACGCAGTTGTCACTGAAGTTTAGTTTACAGAACAACAAATATAGAAATATAAAAAGTGTTTCCACAGGACTTAGTGAGACTGTGTTGGGTGGACCTCAGACCCTTTTATTAATAATGATAATAATAACAATACATTTTATTTGTATAGCGCTTTAAAGGGTACTCAAAGACACTTTACATGGTAAAAAACAGAAACAACAGAAGTAATTACAATATAAACAAAATCAATCACAATAAGGAACAGCACAAAAAACAGACATTCACAGGTTAACAGCAGGTTTAAAGAGGTGAGTTTAATGTTGGGGGCCGTGTTCCAGCAGAAGAACATGATGCACATTTTAAATGAATGCATCAATCTGGGGCACGTTGAGAGCAACATGAAGAGGCGTTATCATCAACACATGGGTCAGATAGATATGAAAGGTCACAGCCAGCATGCTCAACGAGCCGGGGAAGCAGAACATGACGTAATGGTCGTGGTGCTTGGTCGTGCACCTCTGAGTTTCTGTAACTTCTAACGATAAACATGTCTGTGGATTATATAAAGAAGGACAATTCATTTATGAGCTTTAGAAACAGGAAGTCTTTAAATCCACATGAGTGAATATTTATTAGCCTAATCAACTAGTTTACAGGATGTTCAACCTCTGTGTCTTCATAACACATTTAATACAGGACTTGTTTCTTTACAGGGTTTGCATAAAGATAATAAAGTAGTCCATGAATATGAGATATGAGTTTACAGATAATAACAATCTTTTTCTCAGGATATAACTGAAAATCTGTGCTTTTCATCTCAATTGCCGAGAGAATATATTGTTCTGAGATACGTCCACTGAGTTATGCTTTTAGTTTAGTCTAATAATCCATATTTTCTTTCTTTTATTACCAACTATCTGATAAAAACGTCCACAATCTCATCCTTCAGAGAACTAAAGAAACCTAAAGACTCAGATGGAGCTCTACTTCTGCAGCTTTTGGTTCCCATCGTTTACACATGGAGCTGACTCGGGGGGGTAATTCCTGCAGAACCACTTCAAAGGCTGCAGCCACACCTGGGCTTCCCCTGGACAGAGGAATCCCCAGAAGACACGTTCATGCAGCGACGAGTTCGTCCCTGATTAAATGTCACTGTAGCAGGATGCATGCTGGGAAAACGTCAACATTTAAAGCCACATTGTGGCCGTTAACAACACGCTTCCTGACTACGAGCGCTCTGTTCTCGTCTCGTACCCTCAACATGTTTCCACCGTGTTTTTCTCTTTCTTACATGGGAACTTCTTTGTGGTCAGAACCTGACTTTATGGTCGTTGGTGATGAAACTAATAACAGAAGACGTGTTTCATCATTACAGAGAACAATCTGTAGTTTGATACACGAGGATTCTGACTCTTTGGATAACTCAGGACTGATACTGTTTAAACAATCAAAACCATTTTTATGTCAGAAATCATCAACTGACGGTTATTTGACCTAATGACGTGTTTTATTTTGTTTTCACGGTTATCTCGTATACGAGGTGATTGATTAGATCCATCTCTCCTCCATGAACAACGTAGGGAGGAGGGATGAGTGTTGTAAAGTGTTGCTCACTGAGACCGGGAGAGGACGTGTGGATCAGGTCTAAGAGAGCCTGACTTGTGATTAGAGGTTCACTATGTCTACAGATAACAGCTGTTTGATGACTTTTAACTACATTTTTCAGAGAATCTAATAAGTTGTAAGTTTTTGGGATAAATTGCATAAATGTGGAAAAAACAAAGTGGATCAAATGGTTAGAATCTGTAAAGTTACTGATGAACACAGGAGGATAAAGGAGAAACCTGACTGCATGCATTGACTTGTTTGACCTAAAGTCCAGCTTGGTTGACTGGACGCCGACGTATTGATCCAGAACTTAACATAGTCCAGATGTGGAGCAGACGACGTCACAGCCAACAACATGACGTCGTGATCCTACATGTGTTCAAATGATCCCACCTCTCAGTTCAAAGGGTTCGAGACCGACAACTCACCGAAGTCTTGCTGTTCCTCTCGTCCTTCCTCCTCAAGGTCACATGAAAGCGCTGTAGAGACACCATGGCTCTGACCTTCAGACGCGTCCTCCCGGCTCTGACTTCCCTCTTCTGTGGAGACTTCAGCACATGTTGCAACTTCCTTCACGCGGATCTTTTGAAAGCTGGCGTGTTTCCTAATGTGTTGAGCAATAACTGGGAGGAGATCAGTTCATATGATTCACAGCGAACGCAGCTGCTGCTCAGCACTGAGACACCTGGCTGTTTAAGAGGATACAAGTTAATTCACATGATAATGTGATTAACTCCGTGTCCCACCTGGTTCTCTCAGATTAATCCTCCGCAGCATTTATTCCAGTTTGACCAGTGCAGATTATCCTCATGATGCGTGTGGTCATTTAAACGCCGTCATGTTGAGAACTCTTGTGGCTAAACAGGGAAGCGACTTCAGATCAAAGTACCTTTAAATACACTGATCAATGTAACCCTAACCATAAAGTATGTAACATAAGTAATCATACCTGCTTTAACCGTGAAACTATTCATTCATTCATTATTATATTCATGTGTCTAATCCTCTGTGGTCCATAATGACCTCATTGCTCTGTATCGATGATGAATGATGTTTCTTCTCTGAAACGTTGTATTCTATTCTTATTTAACCTTCATTCAGTCAGGATCATCCTGTTGAGATGTTACATCTGGTCGAGTCACTTCTGCACTTTAAAGTTGTGACACGTTTTTATTCGTCATTAAACTTTTGTTCTGCTTTTGCTTCAGAGGAAACTTTTCACTTTTTACTCCAAATAACCAACAATAACAATAACAATAACAATAACAGAAGAAGATGCACGGTTAGATGTTAGAACATCAACACTATTCAATACTGAGTAATACTAACAATACTAATACTAATAATACGAATACTAATAATACTACTACTAATACGAATACTAATAATACTAATACTAATACTAATAATACTAATAATAATACTAATACTAATACTAATAATA